CCCCACACACACACACACACAGATGAACTTCAAGTCGAAAGTCAAGTAATCCGTCACAGGTAAGTCGTCTTTTACCCTGGACTCACATTTAAAAAGAATTTTTTTTTAGGGCATTTCAACTCGTTTTAGTTTTCAAGTGGTTCAAATATACATATAAATAAAAAGGCTTTATGACTCACTTTTCAGATTTCCCAGAAAAGGTTTTGGGAGTATTTGAACAAACACATTTTTTTTAAAGTTGATGGTACATTCCATCATAAGTCCAAAAAATTTTTTGGCGCCAGGAAAGGATGATTTGCACGAATGACGAAATCCCAGCGATTTCTTTGAATTTGCGGCCACCGGAAATCTGCTTTTTCGAGTTTTGCACTTTAAAGGGCCGATGAGCATCCAAGTCAGAGCGAAAGGCTAAGCTGTGACGGACGACTTTGCTTATTTTCGCGCGATCCAACGTCGCGCGTGCGGCCCTGCGGGGACTCACAGTATGCAGAGCCAGGACTGCTGGTAGTGAACTCCCGTGTCCGTGGCCGTCACGCCCTGGATGGTCTCGGACAGAAGGTGAACTAGGCGGGGGAAAAAAAAAAAAAACGCGTGACAACGCGGAATGGCCGCGCCCGGTTGCGCAAACGCAGGCGACATGCGAGAGGAGGCCAAGGGGGAACGTCAAGGTCAGACACATCAGCTACGCACACGCACACTCCACAACCCTCATTTCAAACAAACGCTAACCTCCGATCGCAACGTTCATTTGGAACCTTAACCCCCACGATCGTGTTGATACCTTCGTTTGAAACCCGAACCCTTTTTCTGGAGCCCAAATCGTGGCTGCAAACCCAATTTGGAAACCCGATCACTGATTTGAAACCCTCGCATGATCCCGAACCCCTGATTTAAAACCCCGCCCCTTCCTCAAAACTTTTCGATGAAACCCAGATCCAATTTCAAACCCGCTTCCTTGTTTGAAATCTTCCGAAAAAACCCGAAACCTGGACTTAAGACCCTCATTTGAAATCGAGCCTCTGTCAAGATCGAAAGCGTAAATCAGAGACTCAAAAGCCTCGACTTGAAAGATTAATTTGAATCCCCCCGGCCTTGTCTTGAAACCCAAACTCTGTATTGCGACAACCACACATTCTTGTCTGAAACCTTCCATTGGGCACGCGTTTGTTCTCCGCCGTCTCGGCCGACCCGGAGGCTCGCGTTCACGGCGGTATGTTACGGCCGTCGCCATGGCAACGGGCGGAACGAGGCGCCCGCCGTGCGCGGAGAGAAAGACGAGCGGGAAGAAAGGACCGGCAAGAAGAAAAGAAAAAAAAAAAAAGCGAAAGGAGAAAATTTCAATTTCACCAAAACCTCAGTCGGGAAGCACGCGAGAGTGTTTGCTCACGGGCCCAATTTTGAAAGCCGAACCAAGGCTTCAAACCCAACCCTCTCTTGAAACCCTAATTAGAAACTGTGACCAAGGTTCGGGACCCTAATTTGAAAGCCTAAACTTGGCTTCCAACCCTCATTTGAAAGTCCAACCAAGGGCTTGAATCCTTCATTTCTCGAAACCAAGCGCTTTGTTCCAGAGGGGTTGGCGTGACAGCGCGAGATAAATAAAGAACGTACGGTATCGTAGTTTGCCCATCCGTGCTGCCGAGTAAGTCAAGTAATGACGGCCAATTAAGTCACGTGGCGGAGAGATTTGCTCTCACTTTGGCGGTTGACGCCTTCGCTGAGGTCGGGCCGCTCTGAGCGCGTGCGGCAACACCACAAGAGAGATGTCGGATGGCGCTTTTGAAGCAGACCGATACCGGGACGAGTATTCACTTTGATGACTCTCCGACTGCCGCGAGTACTTTTGACGGGTAAAATGACACACAGGTGGGGCACCAAATACCACTAAGCAGGATGAACTGGATGTCGGCAGCCTCCGCGAGTTGTTCAAATAATGCCGCTGTTGGCCCGGTAGCAAAACGACGCTAATTTCTGAATCTAATCCTTGTTCGAAACTCCAACTCAGTCTTGAACTCTTCACTTGTCATCTAATCCTTATCAGAACCCCTGTCTTGAAATTGCAATTTTTGAGACCTTAATCTAAGCTAGAAACACAAGCCTTCTTTTGAGACCGAGATTCCAAACACCAACTCTTGCCTTGAAGCCTTCATCGAGTAACCCTCATCCTTGTTTGAAACCCCAACACTGTTTTGAGACCGTGATTTGAAACCCCAAGGCTTTCTTGAAACCCTCGCGGAAAAAAAAATAAAAAATAATAAATCCCGTGAGGATGTCCCAAAAGCGCCTGATATTACAGAGGGGCCTTCTAATAACCCAAACGCGGCTTCTAATATGCCTTGTATTGGCTGGAGGTGCGCGGCAGGTTGAGGAGCATCTTTGGAGGTGACCTCAATAATACCCCACAATCTTATGCAGCCTCAGAGATTAACTGTCTGTCTCTCACACACACACACACACACACACACCGAGGAATGATTGGTTTCCCTCATGGCTCGGTGAAGGAGGTGATTAAACGAGAGACGAGGTGGCAGATGAAACACTTATCCTATATGGAGGCATAGATCACGGGCCAATCAGCACGCAGCATGCTGATGATGTCACGGCACGCCGATAGGAATGTGGAGGGGAAGGGAAGGGGGGCGGGGAAAAATCCTCCAGGACGTCAATCGGAGGATGGCAGCGAGGTCGAGTGGCGCTGACATGCTACGCTAAATTGCAGTTATATAACATCGGCGCGCGAGGAAAAGCACATACGACGATGGAAATTACAAGTAGGACACTAATGTGTCGTGCGTGCTCGCAATTATAAAATGTTTTCCGACAAAAACAAAACAGCGATATCCACCTTTTACGTGACTCTCCAAGAACTAGCAAACAGCTTGCAGACTAGCATACAGTATGACCAAAAAACTGAAAAAAAGATCAATAGGAAGCGAACGAGTTATGCTAACTCGCAATTATGAAGCATTCTCCTACAAAAACTGACCACATTGTTAGTCTCCGTAAACCAGGAAGTAGCGCGAAAAACAACATGATGAGACGCTAACACGTCATGCTAATTCACAACAATGAAGCATTCTCTAATGTCTACATTTTACGTTGATCTCCAAAAAAACAGGAAGTAGCATTCAACCAACCATAGAAACAAACATCTGATTTACTGACTTATTTTTGTCTACACAAACATTTTCTTTTCAACAACGACTTGAGATGAAAGGAGCTTTTTGGCTAACGGCTACGTTAGTCGCTAAACGGGCAGGGGGGGGGATCCAGGCGGGTGGAATGGCGGAGCCGTGGATGGAGATGGTGATGGGGACACGGGCCAAGAAATGATGCTGGAGACATTTGGACATTTTTGCTCCCGTGATAGCTTACCGTCGTCAAAGAAAACAAAACTGTGAGACATGTCTGCGTGCAAAACAAAGGAGGAAGGAAGAAAGAGGGGGGGGAAGACACAAGTCAAAAAAAACCAACCAAACCAACAAAACATTTGCTCTTTTGTGGTTCGTACGAATCCTGCCTGACAAGTTTTCACGTAACCAAGATTGAAAAAAAATTTTGGGGTCGTTCAATGACAAACTATAAGATTGGGGGGCAGGGGGGGCACACGTGATTGTGCCCCAGTATTTCTGTGTAGCGACCCAGAATTTTCATTACTTTTTAGGACATTTTTTTTTAGACAGAATATGAGCTAAAATTGCACTCCACAAATGTTTCCTAGCAACAAACGGCAACATGGCCGAGAAAAAAAAAAACAAGTCTAACAAATTTGAATTCTGCTTTGCAAAATGTGGTCAAATGAGCTCCCATTACTTACATGACATACACGATTTGTGCCCCACCAATTCCACCCAGCAATAAGTGACCACATGATCACGAAAAAAAAAAAAAACATCGCAGGCCACTGCAAATTCTGCCCGGCAACAAGCAATTTTGTTGCTAATTGGCCGTATTTTCACGCGAGAAACGTCTCGAATGTGTCGTGCGATTCTCCCCGAATGCGAATCCGTGGCATGTTTGCTTGCATAACTGAAAAAGTGTTACATCACATCTGCAGCGCCGCCGCCGCTAATTAGCTCCTGGCTGGCTCGCGTCGGCCATGATTGTTGTTGCCGCTGCTAAGATGTTACCTCGGGAGGGAAAAGCTGCTCGAGTTTTGGGGCCAAATTAAAAAGTATCCCCCGCCAACTCGGAGCTAACGAGAGGGTTATTCCAGTGCGTCTCCTCCCCAATTACAAAGTCGAGCAAAGCAAAGTCCTGCTTGAATATATCATCCTCATAAATGTTACAATGACCTACAATGCGTCACATTAATTCGGTAGTTCCGTAAATCTTCTCCCCCCCCTCCCGGACTCTCAAGTACATTACATTGAGTGCACTGGTGATTTTTGCATAATAGCATCCAGCAGATGGCGCTGTGTGAAAAAAGTCGCCTTATTTTCGTTGCTTTTTAGTGATTTAACAGCAACAATGAGTGATGATTGTGTTCTACGAATTCTGCCTAGCGACAAGTGATCACAGGGCCAAGGCAGAACATCCGAGCTCTCGTTCGTTGTCACTTTTTAGAAATTTAACAACATATGAGCTGCAACTGTGCTTCGCAAATTCTACCTAGCAACAAGTGGTCACATGACCAAGGAAAGCGCATCCGAGCACCATTCTTACATACTTTTTGGTGTTTGAATAAAATGTGGGCTGGGGGGCACACAGGATTGTGCCCCACGCATTCTGCCTAGCAACAAATGCTGACATGACCTGCAAAAAAAGAATCAGAACTCCAACTTGTTCTTACCGACAAAACTTTGGGTTCAGGGGCAGAAAAGTCACTGGCCAACAAATTCTGCCTAGCAACAAGTGCTCACCCTAAAAGGAAAGAGCTTCTGAGCGCCATTTTTTTCATACTTTTTGGTGATTAGTCATTCTTTTCCGCGAATGGGATGTCACAAATTCTGCCTAGCAACAAGTGATTAGAAAAAAAAAGATGTCACGACAGTGGCTAACTAAAACGTAATTTTCTATTGCCTGGAAAAGTCTCCGATTGTTGTGCACGTGAAGAGCACCTCCTCCCAGGAAGGAGGCGGCGGCAAGAGCTGCGGAGTGGCTGCCGGCTGCCATGTTGGAGAGGCGTTTGAGTAGTTCGCCGGAGACAGATGACACCACTCAATTATCACCTGGCCCAGGTGTCAACGGCGTGGGCGCGGGGCCGCGGCGTCACCCGCCACCCGCCCGGCGGTCCCACTAGACGCCGAGCGGGCCGCAACATGACAGGCGGCGGCCACCTCTGCGAACCTTCGGCGGAAGCGCTAATCGTCAAATCTGCTTCTTGTCAACAAGGCAGCGTTTGAGTTGAAATCCACTTCAAAAGACCGTTAAGATGTTCCCAATCCCTCCAGGACACACAATAGATCGCCTCAGACCGTTTCGGGTCCGAGCCGTAGTCGACCGTACTCACCGTTGACTTCCTGCGCGCCGGCGTCGGTGAAGAGCAAACTCATGATCTCCTCAAAGTTGCACCCTGGCTCCGGGGCGTTGTCGTCCTGTCCGACGTGTCTCAGCATTCTCTTGAGGACGTCGTCCAGCGACGCCGCCGTCTCATCCAAAAGGATGCTGGCCCGAGCCAGGAAGCCGTCAAGGTCTCGGTGGGCGCGGATTTCCTCCTCGAAGTTCATCAGCTTCACGTACTGCGCCACACGCACACGTCGGCGTTTTTAACAACGGCTAGCATGTTAGCAATCACCACACAAACCGCGTGAGCATTGTTAGCTAAGCTACATTGCTACATGGTAGCATTCTACATATCCAGAGACACACACACACACACACACACACACACACACACACACACACACACACACACACACAAATACTGTATCTATATTATAATTCATTCTTTTCATGCCCCCCTCCCCCCATTTTACTCGGTGCTTGGCCACCCAAAACTCAAAAGACAGCCTCAGATTCTTTCAAGAGACGCTCGAGTGGACGGCCAGATGATTACGGTTCAATAAAGAGCGTCGACATCCAACCAGCCCTCCCGTCGCCCGCCACCCCCAATCATCACTCCTCGTCCCGGAGTATTGATCGAGAGATTGACAAAAATCCCAAAGACGAGTGGAAGCCCCCGCTGCTCTTTGCAAAACATGAAAGGACGTCTTGATGGAAGACATAGTGACACACCGCATTGCCACACTGTGTTTGTTTGCGTGTCTGGAGACGCGGGTGGGCGACTATTTTGGGCTCTCGTCAAGTGCGCGTGTTTTTTTTTTCCCTTTTCTTTTCTTTAAATAACAATGTCTTCGGATCAAAAGCGGCGCGTAGAACACACGGAGCCGCTGCAGTGAGGATATGCAGACAAACATCAAGAATGCTCATTTGACGACAGCGTGCAATTCGTAGAAAATATACGGTACATTATGTCCATTCGTAAGTTCTTGGCATTAGAATGAAAATACAGCGCTGTTAGTAAATATTAAAGCGAGTGCTAACGGAAAATCCTAATATACTGTTGTGTAAAAAAAAAAAAAAAAAAAGACCTCAGTCAAGATGCTACGCTAATGATGCGCCGGGTCGACAGAACAAGATGTAAGACACGCAGAGCATACCAAGCGTGACAGCAGAGCATCGGGGTTGGCAGGATCACTCACAAATTGCGTTCACAAACGCGCCGGTGCGTCAGGTTGTGCGACTCATTTTTATTTTATTATTATTATTTATTCATTTATTTTTACAAAAACGTATGAGGATGCCCTTCCAACGGACATGCTCGTTTTATCCGGCCGTTTGCATCTTGAGCGGCATGCCGCTAACCCGCTAGCTCGTTAGAGCTCGCTTTATTAGTGAAGGCATTTGAGGCTCACCCTCCTGGACGTGTTGAGCAGCACGCAGCCGGAGTCGTCGCTCTCTGCACAGAAGCAAAACAAAACACAATTAGAGAGGAGGCTTACCCACATCGCACAAGTTTTTAGGCTACGTTGTCGTGTCGTGAGAAGAACAAGTTGAAAAGCAAAAGTGTATTTTCTGAACTGATATTTGAGGCAGAGCTTTAAATCGGTGGGCATTAGTCTTTATTAATGAAATCCTGTTGTCCAGTCTATGCACAGACTAAGGGTAGCAATCGAAATGATCATCCATCCATTGTGTGCTTTGAAATGCACGAGATAAGACTAAAATGACAATAATTAGGTTTAAATCAAGGACAAGCAATTACAAAGGTTTTTTTTTCGCCTTTATGAGGCAAAGTTCTGTGTGCCTCACCTGCCATTGTATCTGTGGTTTTATGTGATCGGTAAAAGTAAATAGGTAACATATGAACAGATTCTGAACATGAATTAGGTCAATTCAGCGATTCAGATGATGCAATCATGGGCATGTTTGAATTCAAAGAAAATCAAAATAAAGGCCAGAGAAGTAAAATGAATGGCAAGTTTTTTTTTTGTTTGTTTTTTGAACTCATCGTGGTGCAGAAGAGGCGCTGCCTCCCCTGACCACGCGTTCCTGAACTGAGACAATAGACCAGTAAAATCATGTTGCCTCTGCAGAGAATTGGGGGAAATTAACATTTTTGCAAGCTTGGCTTGACAAATATCTTTTGTCAAGAACATGTTGCTCAGCAAGCAGGCCCAACCAAATGAGACCAATTCAAGCAATTCAGGTGGTGAAGTAAAAGTGAAGGCAAGGATGAGATCTTTCCCTCCGAAAAAGCGAAGACGAACAAGAAGAATGCGAGGAGGGATCGTTGAGAAGCGAGTCTGCTCCTGCGATAACGCTATTAATCTGCACATGATTCCAAGCCCTGTGGCAAGAGAAGACCCCCCCCCCCAAAAAAAAAAAAACTGCGGCTAAACCTTTTATATCGGCCGCCGTTATGTAACGCGCGGGGACAATGTGATTAGCTTTGGCGCGGGCTTTCCTCCGTGGCCTGTCGGGGGAATCAATGGGAGCTTAAGGAAGACGTCGTCTCTGCTGCGTGACCGGAATCTTTGGGGGAGGGGGCTAGGGGGGGTGCACGTGGCCTGGCTGGCCGACACCGCGCTCTAATTGCTGTCGGGCGGGCGGGCAGGCGGGCGTGCTAAGAAGATCATTTTTGCATCCATAAAAGAAGAAGATTAGCGACACGTCTCGACTGATGTGAAGTAATCCTCCTTTTTAACAATTGTAACAATGAAGCGCGCTCATCAAAGGAGGAACCTAACTAATGACATCCCACATTGCCAATCACTCCGTTCCAAGTACTGACTACAAACATAATATTAATCAAACTTTATCTATGAAAGGCATGTTTGCCATTGCGCTACCCTGAAATGAAAGGGAGCGGATAGAATAGCTAGCTAGCTAGCTAGCTACTGAGTCAAGAGCATCTTCCAATTCTATCTGAGAATTAGCAAGTGGCATAAAACGCTTCTGCTTACCTCCATGTAGCCAATGACTAAAACCAAATATTGACAAAACACAAAATCTATGTCAGAAGTATGAACAGGCTCGGTTCATCCGAACTCTTTCTGTCGAGCTGTCTCGTGACTGTGCACGTACGCGCTTGACGTGGAGATGAAAAGCATTCACATCATATTCCGGCGGACATTTTGAATGACCGACGGGAACATGAAGTCGACTTTGTCCCCTGCGCAAGGAAAAGTGTGAGATTTATTCCCGCGCCGACCTTTTCGGTAAACAATAAATTTGCGCTCTACGACGCAGCACAAAGTGACGGCTCAATCATATTTGACAAAAAAATGATGAGTCAATAATATTTGACAGCGATGAGGTCGAACGTCCTCGCGTCCTGTCTTTGACTTGCCGCCATCAATCTCGGACATGGGACGTAGCGTTAGCGCGCCTGCAGTTAAACATCCAGCGGACAAAAAGTGCCCCGGTGCCGAAAAGGTTGACTTGGGCAGGAGGAAAAAAAAAAACAAAACGAGGAGGCAGCGGAAAGTAAACAAACAATCCGCAGGGGTCACAGCCATCATGTGTTCAGGGAGGCAGCCATTACAAAACGCCCTCCAAATGACCCCGCCCCAATTTTTTATTTTTTTTTAATGTGCAAACCTTTTTGAAATGCCAGAAACAGAAACGATCGCATCATATAATTTTGTACGTCAAACTCTGATTCCCCAAACACTTGACGATCATGTTGAAGACATCTGACAAGATTGGCCTTCAAAATAAACGGCTCACAGGTTTGATTTTGATTTGGTTTTCAGCATCTATCGGTGTTCGGTGCCAGTTTGTCTAATTTTATCTGACAGCGTATCGTCACTTTTGAAGCTCGTGGGCATCTGTCGCTCTCCTGGTGCACCTGGGACCGTTGCCATGGCAATGGTTGACCCCCGGGAGGGACGGGAGGTGGTGGGGTTGGTGGTGGTGGGGGTGCTACCCGGGTCCAAATGGTGTGCACCTGCCATCCCGGGGTCAAAATGGTGTGCCCCTGCCACTTTGTCATCATGGAAACGGTGCAGTCACACCACCGGAAGTATGTCGGAAGTTGAGTTTTTCGGGTTTTTTGGGTGATGGTGGAGGGGCGGGGGGGGGGGGGGGGGGGGGGGGTCTCAGAACAGATGACATTACACCTTGTTTAGCGTTAGCATTTAACATCACTGGCATTGTGCCTGCTAATAGTGTCAGTGCAGTGTCTGGTTTTTATTTTGTGACAGTTCCAGTTTATTTGCGAACAAACACACACTTTATTCAGATGACGACCCACATACACACACGGGAGACACACATCATTGTTCAATACCACAACGTGGTAAAAATAGCCCTGCTAATTTTACTAGCATAAATCAGAAGATGACACCAAGGAGTCGGAACAACTTAAAAGCCTTTCGCTTTGGCCAAATGCTGACAATTTGGCTCGAACGCATCAGGATTAGACAACAAAAGCGCCTCCTTGGATCACACTGAGTGCGAGCATCTCTAAGTATGTTAGCATCTCCTAGGGTGTTAATATCTCTAATGGTGTTACTATTGCCAGGCGTGTCAGCATTCTAAAATATGTTCCTGTGTCGAGATGAGTTGGCCTATCTGAGCGCGGTGGCATCTTTGAGTGAGTGAGTCTCTTGAAAGGTGTGTCAGCAAGTCTTTAAATGTGTTCGCCTCAATACTTTAAATGAGCTAGCATCATTGAATGTGCTAGCCCCTTGAGTGTCTTAGCATCGCTTAACGAGTCACGAGTCTTTGTGTGGGTGAGCATCTATGTGTTAGCGTCATCGTATGTGTTAGCCTACTTTTGCACATTAGCATATTTAAACGGCCATGTTCTCCCTTGCGCGTAAGTCAGACTGGGTGTACGACCTCTCCGCGGTCCGGCCATAGCTGTTGTTAACATACACTCATGCCAAGTGGAGCAACCTTAAAATGCGGGCATTGTCTGTCAAATTTGGCCCGTCATACTAAGTCTAGTATGTATCGTTCTAGTATAGTGAACACTAGTTCTGTTGTAAGCATCTTGAAGAGGGTACACGGACCTGATCCAGGGGTGACCTGGTTGTCGTAAAGATGGACGTCATCTGCAGAGGTGATGGGCGAGTCCTGGACCTCTTCTGGGCCCTCCTGTTCCCCATCCGGCTCCCCCTCCCTCTGCTCTGAGGACACCAAGAAACACCATTAGCATTTTCGCCACGCCTTTGCCAAGCTAACGAGACTCCTTTCGGCTTGTATCGGGTGTACCTTGCTCTTGCTTTTCAGTGACTGTCATAGCAACAAGGGAGCTAACAGCACAAAAACAATGATGACCTAATCAGGATGCGCACGCGCCGCAAGTCCAGATAGGGCAACTTTTGTTGGTGATCTGTTGTCAGATAACCACGGTAAGCATCACAAACAACAATGCTAACGGCTGAATGAGTTAGCCACCAGTTACTAATTATCTCTAGCAAAGGCCTTGCCCAATTCCTGACCATTTACTCAACTTTTCAAGACATCAGAAGTTACGTTGAACCAAATGTTCACAATAATTTCCCAGCTACGACATGAGCGACGCAAATTTAATGATGTGCTTGGTCCAGTCTGTGTTTGTGCTTGTAGCCACAGGCTCCTCTGGTGTTTCTGTCCCATTGGAATTGAGGAAAAAAATCACCCCCTTTCCACTCTGATTCGCACACCTCGACACACAACAGCTCGGCATGGTGTTGTTTGAAACTATTCCAAAACTATAACGCTTAAAATAAATAACTAATCTTTACATCTGCACCTGTGTCTCCCTTGTTTTCTGCACCAGTGATGCGTGGGCAGTTCTTGATGAGGCAGATACGACACGCCCCTTTTTTGAGCCGTGTGCCCACGAGCTAGTAGGGGCAAAGGTGCCAGCGAGAAAACGAAAAGAACGAGGAGGCATGAGCTGCATAGCGTTACTCACAATGCCGAGCAATTACAAGGGACGCGTGAACTTCACAGGCAAAAATATTTTTCTCTTTTTTTCCCCCTTCAATGTTCTGCAGTGATCGCACAATATATTGGCATTGGAAAAAAAACATGAACCTCATGAAAATTGGTTGAAAATTTCGCAAGTTGTGACTTAATTTCAATGTCCATGCATTGGCTGTGATAGGAACGTCGCCCCTTCCAACATGTCCGACACAAAGACGTGTCAGTTGTCCAGGCTGATTCAGCGTGCTGGCGTCTTCTCTTCATATCTGTGGCTATCAGTTCTCATTTCTCTTTGTCGTAACATTTGCTCTGTGTATGCTACGTTGGCTTAGCGTCTTGGTGAAATCGTATGTGAGAAAGTTCTGGTCCAAACTCACCCATTTCCTGAAAGAAGTATCCATTCTTGGACATGCCACAGGGAGGCACCTCTGCCAGGAAGAAAGAAAGAACAACAACAGTCATGTGACCTAATGGGTGGTGCGCTACGTTGCAATATGATATGATATAACAGCAATCCAAAATCAATATGAAACGAGAATTACCAGACAGCAATTGGGCCATAATTGCGCGAATACAAAAAGATAATGACCATGAGCTCAACTGGCTAAAGGACAGCAGCTGGGCCTCACGCATAACACGTGTTTTACAGATCAAACAAATACACGTGATGTCATAGCTACTCTTAGGAACGCTAACCAAAGACGACCGAGGATCACAAGTTGTTCTGGTAGTGCTAACGATGCTAGCAAAACATGATAGAAGTCTGCGAGGTGACCTTCTGCGTTCAATGAGGTGACCTGTTAGCAAAAAACAATGCTAACAACACATGATGACCTGCTAAAAATGCTAACAAAACGTGATAGACGTCTGCGAGGTCACCTGCCTGTGCTAACAATGCTAACAAAACATAACCATGAATTAGCCACACGGACGTCAATGTTTTACAGATAATACGGAGCAGCGTGGCTAACGCTACATGCGATTGAACAGTCACCGCCGACTTAAAGTTACTTTGCGAAAGGTAGCACATCTGTATGATTCACCTTAATCTGACAGTGCAAACATTCATGACAACATTTTTAGCCATGAACACGAATATTTCATCATCATAAATCCACACGAAAGCTGATGACTTTTTGTTTTTTCCTCGCCATGTGATGACCTGTCACTCATCTGGAAGAAACTGACCCGCTCGCCAAGCTTCCAGTACATTGGCGCGGCTGCTAACGTCGCTTGAAATGTCATCGACCTGGAAGGTGACATTTTCTAAATGCCGGTGGGGGGGAAAAAAATGAAACTGGTAGTTTTCCCCTTAACCTCGTTGAAGGGTCGCTGCTGTCGCACTGTACGATGCTGCTGCTGCTGATGATGATGATGATGATGATGAGATTCACTCAAGCTAAATGACCCTCTCTGGATGTACACAACACCGCGAGGCAACTTCATGACAGAGTCTGCAGGAAATGACTCAAGTGGAGCTCCGCAACAATGTGAAGCAACCAGCTGCTAATCTCAACTCCACAAAGCGTTTCGGAGTGACCACGTCAGTCGAAAACTTTTAACAGGAACACAGACAACATTGTGGAACAGAAAAGTGGATGCGCGCAATGTTGCGGACTGCGGCTGCGTGAAAAGGAACAGTGAAAAGCCGGGACCGAGGCGCCACTCACTCCTGCCAGCCCGTTGTGTTGAAAGCAATTGCAAACGCCGATGATTTTTATACCTCACAACTCTGTGAGCTATCATCACCTCACACTGTGGATCTTTGTGCTCTCTCAAGTACGTCTTTACGTTTGACTGTAGCCAAATGTAACACGGCGTAAAATTAGAACGCCCCTCTCCCCCACCCCCGCACCAACTTTGGCACACAAATACATCTTCAACCATTGAGTTGGATCGCAGCCTCCAACTTAGCCGGGAGGAGTTTACATCAGTCAGTTGGAGACTGAACAAACATCAAAAAGACGTTGTCAACTTAAAACAGGTTTTGACCACAAATCCTCGGCTTTAGGAGGGACAAGTATTTAGAGGCGTGCGTCCCTGCGAGTTTATTAAGCTGTCTACGAGGGCTGGGGAGGGGGCACTTTATGGGCTGATTGTGCCCGCGGGGAACTTTTGAAGAGAGAGACTCGCCCCTGTCCGGAGGGCACTTGCATTTTTGCACATTTAAGCCGGGATGCCACAATTGGGCCTCCGGCAATGTGAGAGCACTAACATGCTAACGACGCGCTAGCGGCACATGTAGGAAAATGCGCCGACACGTTGAGTCAGGTGTTAAGGTATGAAAGAAAGAGCGCAGGGCTCACGCTGCGCGAATGGTACACAGGTTTCAATGCATGTATGTGCACTTCGGAGACAAAACATTCGGGACACTGACTTCAGGACAAACTTCCAACATGCATTAACGCTCATGCACAATCATTTTCGATCACTTGACGATCACCATCGTGGCCGTTTGTCTGTTTGTCAGCAGGATGACAGAAAAAGATGAAAACGGACATCTTCCAAGTTTGGTGGAGGGAGGCATGGCAGGGCCAAAGAAAAAATATGTCAAGTTTCAGTGCAGATCTGGTTCAATTCAAGTGTTTTGGCAGAAATGACATCGACGGTCAATCGCCCTCCATCCATTGTACAGTTCACAACGATTTTGTTTTGCCTTCTGTTTCTTTGAGGTGTAATTCCAATGTCGACCACTACATGGTGCCCTACTAGTTTGACAGTGTAAATTTGACTCGAGAAGAAGATTGCAAACTGGTAGAAAAGCACTTCAGATCAGCCTCGATTTTGCCGATGATGATTAAACGTGGCGGCACGGTGTGGAGTGGTTAGCACGTCCGCCTCGTAGTTTCGAGGTGCAGGGTTCGATTCCGGGCACCAGCCTTCCTGTGTGGAGTTTGCATGTTCTTCCCGTGCCTGCGTGGGTTTTCTCCGGGTACTCCGGTTTCCTCCCGCATTCCAAAAACATGCGCGGCAGGTTCACGGAACACTCGAAATTGTGCTTGGCTGTGACCGTGAGTGTGAATGTTTGTTTGTCTGTGTGTGCCCTGCGATTGGCTGGCAACCAGTTACCCCGCTTAGTGTCCGAAGTCAGCTGAGAAAGGCTCCGGTACACCCGCCACCCACCTGAGGATCAAGCGGCGCTTGATAAAATATAATAATATATTATAATATTATGTTATATATAAAATAACAAAAATTCGGCCCTCAAAATCGCTGCCATGACAATTTAACCCGTACCTCGCACCCGCATAGTACTCTATGTTGCAGCCTTACTGCTTTATCCACGCTTGTAGAACCAGATACGGCTGGAGCATTATCGCTAATGCAAACAAACGACAACCAGAAGAAAAAGACGACTGCGTGGTTGCCAAGGCAGCGGCCGGGAGACCTCGCTCGCCAGTTTCGCATGCGGATGATTTTTGAGGTCTACATTTTGCGGTGATGCGACTCCCTCCTGTTGTCTTGACGAGCTTAGCGCGGCTACCGACTGTTTTGCTTGACAACGACAAGTGGGAGCCGAGAGCCGCGCAAAGATTTTAGCACCAGGGTGAACGCCGCATTATTTCATCAATGTTTCCATCCCAACAACCTTGGAGTGCCGCGTTTCACCGCCGATGAGCGGGAGGGAAAAAAAAAAAAAGGGGGGGGGGGGATTTTTTTGTGTTCGAATGACGCAGCCTTGCAGCTAAAGAGTGTTTTGGAATGATTGTAGCGGCTAAAAACATGACGGGCCTGCACGCAAGAGCAACAGGGGCCACTGTGGCCAGCCAGGAAGTAGTTGAAAAGCCCCGCAAACAAAATAGCAGCCATAAAAAAAAAAAAAAAAAAACACAATCACCTTTTTGTTATGTTATTCACAACAAAAGTTAAAACTGACTGTTATTGTTATTGCATTTTACCATTATCGGTGATAAACGACATTTTGCACTTCTATGATATTTACATCGAGAAGGTTTAAAAAAAAAAAAAAAAAAAAGAGACTCCTCAAGCTCAAGTATGCCAAAATAAAACTGCTCGAAATCCGTCATAAAAACTGAGACAGGGTGTCGTATTGTTATTCCATTTTGGATGACGTTACATTTAAACAGTGGTTAACTTCCACTCGTATTACACTCGTTTGACGCGTGCTGTGCTGTGACATCATTGAACTTTACATGATACCTTTCTCCGCGCGACCCTCGTGAGGATAAACGGATCAGAAATATGGGTGGATGATACCTTTCTTATTTAAGTTTTTTTTATGTGTCTTTTTGTCATTTCATTTTACCATTAACAGTGAACATGTTTTTCATACGCGTGTGTATGACAGTTAAGAATGTTAAAAATGAGATGCAGGTGACGTAAGGTAACTTTGCAGTGCACGTTTGTCCTTAAAGTTGAAACTGAGTGCCCGATTGTTATTACATTTGACCTGAAACGGTGTTTAACTCCGTTTTACATTGAAATACATTTGAGATTTTTTTTATTTTTATTTTAAATGAGCATGCAGCACAAGTGTGACTTAGTTAACTTGTTCTAGACTTTTATCAACAAAGTTGTGACTGGGTGTCCTATTGTTATTACATTTGACCTGAAATGGTGGTTAGATTTATTTTTTTTTAAAGCATTAAGCAGGAGTGTGACAGAGTTAACTTGTGCTAGACGTTTATCAACAAAGGTGCGACTCAGTGTCCTCTTGTTATGACATTTGACTGTGTAAAAAAAAAAAAAAAAAAAAAAAAAACGGTCAGAAGGCAGTTTTAGAATCTTACGGGAGTCGAACTCTAGTCAAATGTATGCTCAGTCTTAACGCTGACGAAAAAGGCAAAGTGGAGTCAAAGCACGCCGTCGTCATCTCGTCTGTTGAGTGGAGGTCATAAGACGCGACACAACCAACAACCAATGGGAGGTACAGGTTATTCAGGTTCGAGTCCCTTATGAAAATGTTTAAGGAAAATATTCTTGAAATCCTTCCACACTAAACCTGCTTGGTAGGAAAAAAAATATGTTGGCATGCAAAGGTCAAAAGCACACACATTTTCAACTTGGATTTTCGTTTTTTTGAAGCGTACGTCCCGATCGGCAGATGGCCGTTGCACTGTAGCAATGCTAAGCTTAAAATGGCTCTTTCCCTACTTCCACGTCATGCAGGCTCGCTGTGGTTTCTCGTCTCCGAGTTGTTGTTTTTTTTGTTTTTTATTTTTTGGGGGGGTTGGGGGTCTTTGGTGGGGGGGTTTGTGTGGGGAGAAAGTTACATCTTGTACGCTACGCACACGCGCGTGACTTTTCACGTGGTGTTCACTGCACATGACAACATGCGGCATTTTTTTTTTTCCTCACGGGGAGGAAGGCGGCGTGGCATAAATGAAAAGCGGCAAGCGAGGTAGCGGGGAGGGTTTTGTGCTCGGTGGTGGCGGCCAGAGAGAGAGTAAAAGGGGGGGCGGGGGGG